TGTGATTATGTAGCATACTAGTCCTAGCAGCATAGGCTACTGAGCCATTCAACCGAATGGGTGACATTTGCTTGTTGTAACTCTCCAAATTAAACTTGATTTTTTATCTTTTTTCAACACTGAATCTAATACTACACATATTTAACTATTCAAAATGTGTATTGGTCAATCTCAGCCAACTTTCTTCTTTTTTTTTTTTTACAAGGTTTAAGCAGAAGATGGACACATATTTTCTCAGTCCTGTTACCGAAACTCATGTGCCATTTAAAAAGCATGTTTAAAAGCATGTCAATTAATTCCTTTGTTTTCCCCACAAGAAAGTGTTTATTTTAAAGAAATTGTTGGTTATATGTTTAAATAATTGATATTTGTGGAAAAAAATCACTATTTATTAAGGCAAGGTGTATTTTAATAAAAAACACAAAGCCATTTTTTTCATTTTAAAGAAGACCGAACCCTCAAGTTTACAATTGTTTTAATAATTTAATTTATTAAACTATTGTATAAATGATGGACCAAACAAAACTGATAAAAACACTGGTTTAACTTTATTTTTTTAGAAAAAAGAAAAAAAATAGTAACAGGAATGAACACTTGGTAACAGGAATGAGCGTCCATATGTGTGTGTATTGGAGAGAGTCTACATGACTGTGTGTGCATAAGATTTCTGTGTTGAAGTGATGTACTATGTGCTAGAAGTACTTCACAGAGAAGGAGGTGGAAAGAGAAAGAAGGAGAGAGAGAAGAAGAGAGATGGAGGGAGAAAGAGGGAAGTTAAGACAAAAAAGGGGGAAAAGAGAGGGTTGCGGTTTCGCTCCTTCCATTGCAATATGCCATAGGTGTGTGTTTCTGGCACCTGCATAGTATGGGTTTTCTCCATTTTCTACAAAATATAAGAAAGACAAAGACACAACGTTTAAGTTACCTCGTGGTGGACTGGCTTCCTGGAAGTATGGTGTTCACATTATAAAACTAATGCTAATGTCTACAATATAAGTAATTGCAACCTTAAAACTCATAATTCAGGTGAATAGTATTATATAAACTAATATTTACAGTATTAAATCAACAAAACAGAGGACTCTACTCACTCCTGTTACTTTAACTCACTCCTGTTATTTATTCATATAAGCAACAGGACTGAAAGTAACAGGATTGAGTTTTTAAGCAAAAAGTTATCAAATACATGCCATATGGTCACATAGCATACATGCTAACAGCATGAGGACACTGAGCAATTTCTAGTGACTTACCAAAAGTTCATATTTTTAAAATAAACAAATAAAATCTAAGAAATAATTTAGGTAACAGGACAGTATGTTGAGATTTACCTTCTCAGTCATAGTTACAATTTCATCAAATATACAGAAATTAAAATGAGAGGACTTACTTATGGTCTTCCCATTGCCTTCAGAAGATCCAGATGATCCAACTTCCTGTTGAAAATGTGTCTTGTGGAATATTCCAAATTTTTCAGAGGGGGGGGGGGGGGGGGGGGGGGGGATGTGTTAGGATAACAGGACTGAGTGAAAACCCGGGGACAGGACTAAAAATTGTATTTTATCAAAAATATTAGATAAAATATTTTTTTCTCATGAAAAAAAACAAACATTTTAAAGCATAGATTGGATATAAAGTCACACAACAATGCAAACAAATTAAGATTTCTGAAGGATTTTAATCATCATATTTCATGGTAAATTTTAGAGATAAAGAGTGGGGACATGCAGAAAATGCTATTTTTTAGTGTTCCATGTAGTTTTTATTAATGTTTTTAATTATACATTTTAAATTTGTAGTTAGCTTAATGTGCAGGACATTTTGCTTAATAATAAAATGTCTTTTAGAGTTAAATTTCATGCAATTTTATACATTTAATGTCCTGAGGACAGAAATGTCACCCTTTCGGTAGAATGGCTCTACTACTGTTTCACACACACACACACACACACACACACACACACCATTATGAATAAATACTATGCAGAAAGTAGTAGACTAGTATAACTAGAGTTGAGTCACTGAGTCAACAAAACATTTCCATATGGAATGAATTAGACAAACATCTCTAAAGATTGGGTCTGGACGTCTCGTATAACACACCAATTAAATGAGCTAAAATTGGTTTCTAGTCTAGTTATGTTTCAGCACAAAGGCAGTTGTAACCTTGTGACACACTTCCCGGAAATTACTCATGGCAGTATGTTTAGCTCGTTATAAACCATAAACGTGTTCCCCATTTTATATAAAAAAAAGAAGGGGAAAAAAATCGAGACTGAGCTTCTTGTGCAGTAAGAATACAAGAGCTCCACCTGGTGGCCAACGTTACCTGTTCTCAGACGCAGGGGAAAGAGTCAAACACACAGGTCTTTGTTCTGACTGAGGAGAATATTTAGGAAAAGACGGTCAGTGGATCAGTCACATGAAATAATTAATATACACAGCAAAAGACTGTCAGCTTAGAGAGAATGACCTTTAATTCAGAACAAGTTCATCCTCAGGAAATTGCAAAATTCGGGCTGTGCTCAGAATGATACCAGTGTATACTTACTGCACTGTAAAAAAAAAAGTACAATCAACTTAAGCTCTTTCAACTTAAATTACATTAAACTGACTTAACAATTAGCTGAATCTTGTATAAAGACTTAACAATTAGCTGAATCTTGTATAACTTAAAAAAAAAAAACTTTTTTTGTGCAACTTTGTATCTAGAAAATAAAGGGGTATTTTGCCATTTAAATCAAACTTTGGGTAAATGTCTTGGCAGTTAAGAATGAGTAAAGATGATGATTAAAATTGTGGTTTATATTGTTTACATGCAGTTCATTAGAAATAGAAGATCAATTCCAGAGCTTTGCATTGTGGGATACTCTAGTTGTGTACTGCATTTGGCTATATATATACACTAAAAAAATATAATTTAGAAAATTAAGAGTTTTACATTTTTATCTAATTTTGTGTGTTAATGTCATAACTCTTTGCTGTCCATTTAAATAATCAGCTTAGATAGAGATAGAATTGACACTAAAAATTACATAAAAGTAACCTGCTTATTTTGACAATGCAACTAATAATGTTGAAAATAAGAGTGTAATTTTACATTTTTAAATTAATTTTGTGTAAAAATGTCATACCTCTTGGCTGTACAATTAAATAGATTAGTAAGAGATGCAAAAATTAACACTACAAACGAGTTGAATCGTACGGAGCCCCCCTAGTCCCACTTTGTAAAAAAAATTATTATAACTATCTCGTGGCCTCAAGATAGTAACTCGTGGCCTCAAGATAGAGATACTATAGTAACTCGTGGCCTCAAGATAGTATCTCGTGGCCTCAAGATAGAGATACTATAGTAACTCGTGGCCTCAAGATAGAGATACTATAGTAACTCGTGGCCTCAAGATAGAGATACTATAGTAACTCGTGGCCTCAAGATAGAGATACTATAGTAACTCGTGGCCTCAAGATAGAGATACTATAGTAACTCGTGGCCTCAAGATAGTATCTCGTGGCCTCAAGATAGAGATACTATAGTAACTCGTGGCCTTTTGAGGCCACGAGATACTATCTTGAGGCCACGAGTTACTATAGTATCTCTATCTTGAGGCCACGAGAAAGTTATAATAAATTTTTTTGACAAAGTGGGACTAGGGGGGCTCCGTAGAATCGAGAAAATTTGCAATGTACATACAAAAAAAGTTAACTTTATTTAAAGGTGATGTAGTTACACGTTACTACATGTACTTACTATAGTAATAACAGTAAATTATGCATAATTACATGTAACTCTAAACCAAACCATAACTCTATAGTAAGTAGATGTAGTTAATTAACATTACTCAGTACTTAAGTACAATGTAACTACATCACCTTCAAATAAAGTTTAACGAAAAAGAAAAGAAAAAGATTAGTACACAATTTCCAACACAGTCTCTCCGTCTATCTAGGCTTGGTTTCATTAAAAATGAAATTTAAATAAAAACTAAACACGTAAAATCAAATTCATAGAAATTAAGCAAAAATGATCATAAACTTCAGAATCAGATGGTTAAATAATAACATCATCATTGTTGTGCTGCATTACCTCCATCTTCTGAATTTAGTGACGGTGAAAGTGAAAGTGTCGCGAGACGAATTTAGGAATCCAACTCTCATTCACGAGAAATGTCACTGAGGGTCAGTGTTACATTTATTTCTCATTTTTAAAAACCGCTTTGAACAATCAAAATATAAATACATTTTCCCCACGCAAGAAATAAACCAGCAACGACACATGACGAAAACTCTCTCATACCAAACAGCCATCCACACACCCACACCCACACACACACACACACACACACACACACACACACACACACACACACACACACACACACACACACACACACACACACACACACACACACACACACACACACACACACACACACACACACACACACACACACACACACACACACACACACACACACACACACACACACACACACACACACACACACACACACACACCTGAATTTAGAGTTAAAGGTGCAATTACAAAAAAACCTCAGACATCTGTACAGACTGCAGTCTCTGTTTCTGTGAGTAGTTTGTGTGCTTGATGACAGAACCGGGTTCCTGTTGAGATCGCTTGTGTCTTTTCCAGTTTGACAAAGGCTGCCGCTTCTGATTCTTCTGTAGGGACCGAAACTCATTCAAACTACTGTTAAAACTGCTGGTTTAGTCTGCCAAACTCTGACAGTGTATGACGGGCAGGAAAACACTGGTTTCTTGATCAGGTAACACTACAATTTTTTAAATCAACCAAGGAGCGATTCATAAAGAACAAATAATTCAAAGGCCCAAATCTCCGAAAGAAAGCTTTGATTTGCAGAGGTAAACCACTGATGCATCGGCGTACCGCTGACGCGAACGAGTCCATATGATCCTCCAAAATTCAGTCGGCCAGTGTCTTAGTCACAGGTCCTTGTGCGGTTCCTGTGCTTGTTTGCGAGGGGCCCGTGTCGATGGATACTGCTCTGTGGCCACAACAACAAACAGTCTGCGGGCTTTCATTGTGGCATCTTCCCTTTAAAACAGAGGTTTCCAGACACAGTCCCTGCGCTGCTAGGATGCTTTACCCAGCTCGATCTTCTTCTGTATGGCTCTTGCTGAGTGGTATATCAACGAATCGATGAGTCCAGCAACTGAAGGAACAGGAGAGGAACAGACTAGGTGAGATAAAGAGCCCATCTACATCCCTGGAGTGACACACTGCTGTCTGCATGTTGTTTTAACAGTCCACAGTAAAGTTGTAAAAAAAGCGAATAAACAACAACAACAAAAATATGGGGATTAATATTTAGTTAAAAAATGCTAATAAATTATATTATTAATAAGGGCTGCATAATAAATCGAAATGAAACCTAAATCACAAATCGATTCAGTTTAGATCGATAATTAAATTGTAAAAGATAGGCCTATATATAAAAAAATTAAATATATATATATATATATATAAAAAATAATAATGAATATATAATATATACTTTTTTATCATTCTAAAACACAGTATATATATATATATATATACACACACTATGATTTAGAGTGACAAAAAATGCTAATAAATATATTATATATCTTAGGACAATTATATTTACAATTTTACAGTTGTATTGTATTTTTTTTAAATACTACATTTTTAAAGTGAAATGTTACAATAATATTTTTTTCTTATTGCTTATTTAGTTAATAATAATAAAGCATACATTTTAAAATCGCAATCACAATTTTTAACAGATTTTTTTTTTTTTTTTTCAAAAGCATGTAGCCCTATTATAGCTTTTTCGAAGTCGCCACACTGTTTTTTTTCTTTCAAACAACTTGATGCATGATGCTTTGGAAAGAGTTTTAAAGGTGTTTACATGCATGATGCTGGAAACTTGTTGACTATTGTTCCTTCATTATATGGTTCAACTGAATTAAAAAGGTAAAACTAATCTTCAACCATTTAAACTGGAAATGGTTAGGCTGGATTTTACACTCTTCTCATGTACAAGACGTGCACTAAGCATATAAAATGTTCCCGCCACAGTAAAAACAAGCAGTAAAAGTAGGTTTATGCAGTCTGTATTCTTTCATTCTGCCCATATAGTGCATTTCTGTGAAAATCTCACCTGTGAAAACACCTCCTATAATAGCACAAACTCCGGTTAGGAAATGGGTGAAAGACCTGCGGAGGAAAGCCCACACAAAAATATATGAAACACTAAAAATCGCTATATTCCATCATGCTTTAGACTGATTCTTACATAATGTATGGACTGTAATGAAATGAGAATGAACAACAATGACAGGAGACGTACCTCTGCTTCTCTGTGAATTTCACCATCATTGGAGACAGCTCATAAAGCACAAACACACCAGGTAAACCCTGATCTCCAATCAGCCCATTCGCTACTTTCTCATGTCTTGTTACTGAAAACTGGTTTGTTTTAACAACCTAAAGTAAAAGGAAAAACTTGTTTTTTAAAACACCTTAAAGAGTCTTCTTAATTAACATAAAAGATTACCATGAAAACCAGCAATATATCATTGTTACTTCCTCAGTTATTGCCAGTAATGTAAAACCTTAATAAATTAATAATTTTTTGCCAGTGGTACTAATACTAAGTAGACACAGTTTTTATCCATTTATTTCTGTTTTTATTCCCCAAATAGCTCAGCTCCCTTACCTCTCCATCTCCTTTAACGTATATCGTTGGCACAATCTTCACAAAATACTGGTACATCATTGATGCTGTAGAGCAAAAGAGTGCATAGGTCAATATAACATACAGTATCTCAACGTTTCGTGTCAGCTGAACTATTATTTCCAAATTATTCTCTTATAATCCCCTTGCACTGACAACACATTTTATTTTTAAAGATTTTATTTTTGAAGAGTTACCATTTGTGACCTAATCTTTCCATTATGAAGAGTAACAAATCTAAAAATTGCCTTTGTATAAGAGATTATAAAAAGTTAATAAACGTGATTGTTTGACGTTAACACATTTAAAAGAATAAACTAATTTGACATTTCATCACAAACAGCCTGCAGTTCCATCCTTCACCGCTAGGGTGAATCTCCAGCTCGGAACACACCGCTAGAGGGCGCTGCTGCCCTTTAGAGCCTCGCATTCTCCGCTTGTAATTTAAACACCAACCACTTCCTGTCAAGTAATGGCGTCCGTGTGAAGCAGTCTTATAACAAACACTTAACAAATCTACCAGAAAACTAACTAACAGAGGCACTCACATAGCGATTTGAACAAGGTAAGCAGATTTTCTTCAAATATATTTCCTGAAAAGTTTGTTCAAGGCTAGATACCTTGGTGACATTAAACGAAATAGACGACTCACGTGCAATACATTAACATTAAGGTTGAAGTAAAACTAAAATCTATAAAAGCGAAGTCATTTAGACCTCATAAATAAGACCATTTCATTCCAGTTGCTCATATAACTACATTTCCTTATATAAAACGCAGGTGTCTAGTTTATCAGTAAAAAAACTGAGCTACTACCTAGAATACGAGCAGCATTATAGAGGTCATTATATGTTAAATAACTCGCAACGCGACAAAAATGAAATATTTAATATTTTAAATGATGTATTTATACATATATATTTTATACATATATATAAAATAAAAAATGTTGCATGAATAATTTTTTGCCAAAAATTAAAGTCTGCATCATCCTCCTTTCAGATGCCGGTGTCGGTAGGACCGTATGGACAGACGCAGCCCAGTTGCTTTGACAGAGTCAAGATGGGCTTCATGATGGGGTTTGCCGTGGGCATGGCTGCAGGCGCCATGTTCGGAACTTTCTCCTGTCTCAGGTATGAAGACTGTCATATTTTGGGTTTTACTGATATTTTGGCAGAAAAGCGGTTCAATTGTTTTAATAGAGTGTTTTGTTCCTTTCAGGATCGGCATGAGGGGTCGAGAGTTGATGGGCGGAGTTGGGAAGACCATGATGCAAAGCGGCGGCACGTTCGGAACCTTCATGTCGATTGGGATGGGCATCCGCTGCTGAGATCACACTAATGCCACTTCTCAACTGATAGGACTTTTGTAGATTCATTTATTTGTTATCATACCCCCATTCAAGGACACGGGTGTCAATAAAGACTGATTGAAGAAAACAGATTTTTCTGTAAATCTTGGGCTCAATCTAAGATTAAATTGTTGATGGTTACTAGATTTTGACACTTTGAAGACAGCCCCCCTTCTTTTTATTTGTGTCCATTAGAATAAGCTACATGGGATTGACCTTTAGCAGTGGCCTTTCTGCTGTTTATGGAGGGCTGACAATGAAATGAACACACAAGATGAAGAAGGGCTCTTTAATTCTGGATAACACTATGTTCTTAGGAACACATTTTTAGTTTAGGCGTGAAAATAAGAAACGGCACACACTTACCTTGAGGTGCTGCTACATTAGTCTCATCTAAAGGGTTGACAATTCCAGGATAGTCCTTGCCGAATGAAAGATGCTTGATGAAATGTGTCATGTTGATCTATGGTCATACCAAACACATTCTGTTAGGTCTAATATTATGGGCAATGGCAGTCAGGGTTATTGAAAAGAAGTGAAGCAACTCACATTGTCTAGTCCAAAGCTCTGCAGATCATGAACTGAAAATAAAGAAATCAATTGACAACATGAATAAATGTTTCGAAAGACCCACAATTTGTAAATGCACCTCAACTGAGTAAACTTGGTTAGCCTAGAAATTGGCACTTTTTTTAAACAAAGGCAGAGCGTAGTACATTAAGTGGTCACAGATGCGCTTGCTGATGAGAATCGTGACAAATTAATTGATGTTATAGAAGCCCCTGCAATGTCAACTCACAAACTGACTATTTGTTATAGACTAAATCTTAAATAATGTGCAGAGAAAAGCAGAGTTACTGATGTAGTAACAAGGTAAATTCTAACTTGTCTTGGAATAAAGATTTATTAAAATATAAAAGATCAACTTACTTTCCACAGCATGCACTGCAGAAAGAAAAGAAAATAGTCACTAAATGGCTTCGATTTTGGAAAGCAAAGTTTTCAAGAGGAATTTGTGACAACCACTGGCCCTTTAAGCTCATTCCAATACTAGAGTCAAATTGCAATGGCCAAATTGTGAGACTCATCTCTCTCTCTTTTTTTTTTTTTCCTGAAGCAGGGCTATTGAAATAATGTTTGAGACTTGAATCCAGGGTCTATTTATGAAGTATTGGATATGCACTTAAACTATTGGAAGAATAGCCTTTGCATGACCAAGCGTAACCGGTGTTAGTCCTGTACCTTGTTACTGAGAAAGATTGTGAGCTTTGATGGGAAAGCGTAGAAACCTTTTTGTCCCCAAGTTAAAAACCCAGACTTCCCAAAAATCATTTCATTAATAAAACCGCTTTGATTTAGAGCATCCATGGTCAACAACACCACAAGGTAATGAATGCATAGAGGAAATAATACGATCTTAAAAGGCACACTTGCATTCACAATGACGGGACAAGAAACTGTTCATCAGCCCAGAAACTTGGCAACTGGCCAATATAAAACAGACTTTGAGGTGATTTAAACTACAGATACTCCGGTGCAAGGACAGACTGATGAACAGTTTTGAGAAAGCAGGCAGAAAAAGCAAATGAAAAGACATGCATTGTGTATTTCACTAAATAAATACAAATGCAGATCTTAGCGGCACTGAATGGCTCACCACACACTCATTTACACAGTAATAAATGAGAAGCTACATGCAGACAAGACTTTAAGATCTGATGCATACCGGCTCATAGGCTTTATTCAAAATCCGTTTCAATTTGATCAAAATAATAATCATTTTTTAAACAGAATACAAAAGGTTTGGGCATCCAGACTTTAAACAGGTTAATAGGCTAAAACTACTAAACATGCCTCTGCATCAGACCTAAAAGCTTTGACTTGTGTTTGATTCATACTTGATAACTAAACATGAGTCTTTACCATGTACATGAGACTGCTGGAAGCTCTTTCCAGGGGCAAAATGGAAATTTCCTGCCACCTGGAGAAATATAAAAACATTTTTGTGATTTTTATAAAATGTATAAGCTTGTAGTTTAACCTAAAACATTCACTTCGTCCAAAATCCCATACTGTACTACATTTGTTTACTTCATGACCGTTAAAAAAGTATGTTGTACTATGAATGAATGAGTAGAATGAATGAAATTTGGAAGTCTACATCCGCCATGTTGTCACTGTCGTGTGACCTACGGCGTCAGATGCTTTGTTACACCACCATTCACAAATCCTCCCCTGTGGTCTCATGCGATAGTGAAGTGTACATTGAATGCACACTTCAGAATCTCGGCGGAAGTAGTAGGTCATCCAGGTACTTTTCCCCTACTATATATTTGGACATACTACTCTGTTCGCATACTATATATAATATAATGGAAGTGTTTGATTTTGGACGCAGCAATTGATTCAGAAATCAAATCATGGGCTGCTTGTTACCTTATTGACCTCCAGAAAGCCATAGACTTGACATCCCTCATTCTTCTGGTCCTGCATCTTCTGGCTGAAGCCCTCTCTCTTACACTGCTCAATGGAGTCAGGGGTCTTAAACGCCCAGCCGCGCCGCCGATATGCCTCCCGCACATCATCACAGGTATTGCAACACCTGAAGAACAATCACAATCATAAACTTTGGCTGTATACACCTGGTATTAACATCAGACAGCCTCAGATCCACAGTTTTTCCATAATTGAATAATGATAACTATATTAGCATCCACACCATTCTAAGCATGTGCTGCAGTTTTGTTGTCTACCACTTTAAATGCATCAAGCTCAGGATGGATTCTGATTGGCTCTCAATGTTTTTATCATTCATCAGCTGGAAAAAGTCGTCCTGAAAGTGATTCCGAAACCATTTTTCTGTGCTGTTATCATTATAGTTTTGGTGTGGACTCTTCTACACTTTTATATTTAGAACTATATCTTTACCATTACAGTTATGCGAATGGGCCTTTAGATGAAAATGACAAATGTTGCTTTGGCAACTAACTGAAATGAAATAAGTTGAAGTACTAAAAGAAAACAAAGCAAATAACAAAATTACTAAAACAAACTAAAATTAAACAAAAACTGAAATAAAAAAATAAAAACGAATTCAAATACTATTAAATTCTATTATCATCGATAATTAATAATACTACACAGATTGCCATATACACTTTGTATTAACATGTCTCAAATGCATTTCCAGTGAAAGTATTTTGCAGGAAACTTTAGAGTTTACACTACAAATGTTATTTGTAAATGTGATTTGCAAATTGTGTGAAGTGTGAAGACAGATGCCCTGGAGGATTTTTAAACTTCTCATCAATCTCTTCCTCTTTCATTCAGCCAGGTGACTATGAACTTGAGCTGGTATCTTGACTATGTACGTGTCAAGTGTCTGTCAACTACAAAGATTGTAACTAAATTTTTCAGAACCGGTTTCACACCAGTAGAAAGACCTGTTCTTTAAGCAAATGTCTCATTTTTCATAAAACCACAGCTGCTCAGTTTGTGGTGGTGAAACTCACTTGAAATCTTCAGTCTCTGCTCCATAACAGCTCTCGCAGCGCTCAGGATCCAGCGTACTGGGGTCAAACACCCCTTCCTCCACTTTGCCTAAATCTGCACAGACGACAACAGCAAGTCAAATCATAGCATATATTCTACAATCTGTGATCTTTATTGTAAAACCATGTTTGTAATAAAATGTCCCGCTTTTATTTTATAGCTTTTATTATTTAGAAATAGCATTTTTTTTGAAGAATTGTAATATTTTAAAGTGCACAAAGAGAACAAACGCACTATAAAAGTATAACATTTCTCCTTTTTCTCAATACTTATGGGTGAACTATTACTTGTGTATAAATATTTTAAGTATGTTTAAACAGATGATTAAAGTTAGATTGACAACTGCATTAATACAATTCTTGTTTTCGAAGATTTGAAATCTTTTAAAGTTCACAAAACAAGACAAGCACCACAACAATATCCATTGGTGTCCCTTTTTTCACTTTCACTTATGGTTGAACTAATCCTTTATTTAAATATTTTAAGTATGTGTGAACATTGTGTTAAAGTTAGCTTGAAAATTGCATTCATGCAATTATAGTTAATGTGAAATCACTTTATGAGCAGCTTTCAAGAACGATACACTGTACATTTTTCAGCAGAATATAAGAACATCAGTTTGTTCAAGCACTTGATGTGATGATGCTGACCGTGTTTTTCAGCCTCAGTTGTGACCGGCTGGCCATCTTTGTCGAGTCTCTGTTTAAACAAGTTATGCTCCACGTCCAGCTGCTGCTCCCCTGCTACGTCCATGGCATCAATGCTCAGATCTATGAAAACAAAATAACAAACATCTCAATAACATCTGCACACAGAGAAAACAACTAAAATATAAATATGAAAAATAAATATGACACCAACATTGATTGGGTAAGTGTGGGGTGGAATATGACACGGACATGTTCTTGACAGGCAGCAATCCACACATGCTATGACCTGATCATTTCAGGTTTTTCAACACATTTTACAGTATAGGGCTTTCTTTCTATCATAATAACTTATAGTATAATTTCTTAACCGAGCCCGATTCAAATTTTTCATTTTATTCGCTTATATGGTTTTACAGCACATGAACATGAACAACAGGACATAACTTTTATCTACAAAGTATTCAGCAGGACTGACCACCCAAACATAAAGTACAGAACAAAATGTTTGCTTACAGGCACAAGGCATATGTGGAAATATAACATCAATGTTGATCCTTAGTTTGTCTCCTCTGGAAGTGTCTACAAATAGTTCAGGATAGACCTAAAAGAGACGACATCAAACCCAGAACCCAAAGATGTTTCATCAAAACTTTATGAACAGTGCACTATAAAGAAAATAAACTCTCCATACACAACCACTATAGACTGACCGATGTCATGAGATTGAGACATATTATGCACAAGTTGAAGTCATTCACCCACCTCCTTAGTTAGATAATACTGCAGTTCGGAGAAGAACAGAATCAACATGATAAGTCCACTGATGATGGTCACTATAAAGTGAACAAAGAACATGTGAATTAGGAAGCAAGTGATCTACATTGCATTTAAATCACAGTCACATTAGGCATGACTCTTATCTCATACAGGCTTGGATTTATGAGCCCCCAGTGACATTTTCCAATCAAGCTATGTTCATTTAGTCTCATTTAAATATGTAATTAGATGTACATATTTTAAGACGTTATGTTAATTAGCCTGTTCGGTAGTGTTTCTCCCCATGAGTCTGTGTGTATGAATGGCGCTCAGCACCTCTACAGGTAACGGTGGATCTATATCACTCACCCGCGGCTCCTCCACATGTTTTGATCCTGAAGTCCTCTAGAGTTTTCGGATAAGCGTCAAATTGTTTAAGTTTATTTAACGCATCCATTCTCCCTCTCGTGCGGCGGTAAAGCTAGCCGTCACTTCTATTTCCAGTGACCCATTTCCGGTACATCGAGGAAGTGATGGAATCCTCCCAGCCAATCAGATTCCACCGCGTAGCTGGAGCGTCTCTCCTGTCTATGGTCTCTCCTCTGTTGACGCTCTAGTGGCAGATCTGAAATATCTGCATCGTAAAAACTATTTAAGATATTTATTATTTAATCATTTCTTACCATTTAAAAACAAAATGATTAAAATATTTGTTTTTATAGGCTGACATGTATTTTAGACCGACATTAATATACTATTCTTATATTAGTCACTTAACGTTTTATACACCCGACATTACAGACAAAAAGTAGCTTAAATTAGTAAGATGATAGATCAAAGTTATAAAATGTAACCATGCAATGCAGCTTTATTTAAATATACAGATATTAACAAATACATATTATGTGGCGTTTATTTGATTTATTTTGCAAGTTAAATCGGATATTGGAATTTTGTTTCAATGTTACCAATGAAAGTCAAAATATGGAATAACCGTTAAAGATATTTTATTAATCTATGCTACCGAGAATACGGGAGTATTAAACGTTTATTTTCTCTATACACGAAGTCGTCTGCTTTATGTCGACCTAAATTTCACAACCAACTGACACTTTAAATTAAATTATATTGATATTTAATTTATTATTTAACTTATTAGTAATCCCTATTTTTTTTATTTTCATGTAGTTTTATATTTTGTTTTATAAATGTATACATATACCATATAGGTGTGTGTGTAAGTTATAAACACTGACTCCACATTGTTTTGCATTCTTCATTTCATCTTTAAAGTTAAACCACAAGGATATATTAAGATTGATTAAGTTGTAAAAAAAAACTTTTGGGACCTATTAAAATCATTCCTTCTGTTTCTGCCTTATGTTGTCAAATCGAAGCACATAAAATTTATTTTTACACTTGACAGCAGATTAGACCTGCAGGTATGAAGATCTCGGAGCATGATTATCTAAAAATTTAGAGAAAGTTATAAAAACATAAAAAACCCCAGCAAAATTAGTATTCTGGTCTAGTCTAACACAACCTTCAGGACATCTAAAAAAAACAGACTGTCTACAAACAGTTAATTCACAACATTTTCTACACTTCTATGAACTTATAAAGTTCTAAGGTTGGGATGTTATGTACATTGCAGTACATCTAATTTGTTACTGTCGTTTTCAATAAATGGCTTTAGTATTTCCTAATTTTTAGTTTTTTTTTTAGATAAAAAAAACAAACTCCAGCTAAATTAATGAATCTAAATGATCAGACAGAATCAGATAGTAAACAGAATTGTTATAAGAGGTCATTAGGGTATACCGCTTTTATTAAATATTTATACAACAAAGTGTAGAGAGCCTAGAGCGAGGACAGATCTCACAAAGCACAAGAAGGTTGCAAATGTATTTTTGATTTTCACCTCTGAACACATCGCCTTGCAAACAACCACAAATAATTCATTGAGATAATATTTATTTTACAGTAAAACATCACAAAGGTTGTCTCAGATCCCACTCCCCAAGTCATTTAGGAGCAAGGACATCTATCTGATAGGATGTCCAGCAGTTATTGATGACAGCAACCTTATCTTGAAGCATTGTGCATTCTGAAAAAGATCGGAGAATTGTGAATCAGGTTTTTACGTTGCGTCAAGGCCTGGTGAAGGCAGAAGTTTGGCTTTATTTGGGAGGCCTGTAGGCAATCTTTCTGCTCTTCAGCACGGACCACCTGTGCCTCTTCATGTAGTAGACCAAGGGAACAAGTATGGAAGCGCCCATCAACAACTGCAGAGAGAATGAGAGAAAAACAATTAGCACTATTTTTATTAGAAGTAGGATGAATAGCATGCATGTTTTGCTTTTCTGTTACACTGTGGTCATTGACACTGCACAGCAAAATAAAAAAATAAAAAAAGGTGCTGTTTGGATTTAAATAGGCAAATGATTAAGGGTCTATTATTGGATTATTATTTCAGTGATTATTATGTTTCTAGCATTTTGTTTGGCAACAGTTCTTCTTCTAACCCTAATTGATGGAGTGTGTTGCTTTTCATTTCTTAAACGACCATGTAGGAAAACACATCATGGCCATATTCCAGAATGACAATGTCAAGATTCATCAGGATCAAATTGTGTAAGAATGGTTGGGAGGGAGCATGAAGAATCATTTTCACACATGAATCGGCACCTCTGAGTCCAGACCTTAAATTCAGTGAAAGTCTTTGTAATGTGCTGAAGGAGACTTTACAGAGTGCTTGACTCTTGCATTGTCAATACAAGATCTTGAGCAAATAAATAAAAAATGCACCTCTTTATGGAAACATCACATTTATTTCCATCATTTTTTTGAATCCCTGCAATAATGACCCAAACATAGACTCTTAAGCATTTGCCTATTTAAATCCATACAGAAACTTTTTTTTGGCCGGGCAGTGTAGTTTTGCATTACATAAATCTAACCTTCTACCAATATCAAATGATGTCAGTTGAGCCTGAAGAAATAAACTGGTGGTGAAGAAATCAGGAAAACACAAACCTTCAATCCCATACGTTTGCGTTGGTCATGTTCTGGCTCGGATGCCCACCTCAGGAAAGTACAAACATCTTTAGCAACCTGGCTCATGGTGGCAGGGGTTCCTATGGAGAAAAAGTGAGCCATTAAAAAACTCTGACTCTGTAATACTTCATATGTTATTTACCTAATGGGCATTAGCTCATAATGACTTTAATCCAGTAGAGAGGATTAATTTATCAGTAAATGGGAAAAAACGTCTAAATGGCTAATTTATATGTATATCAAATCAGAAGGGATATTTAACACAGAAAAGTCCTCTGCAGTCTTTGTATGGCAGAATTGAATTATAATCAAAGCCCAGCAAGTATGAAATACAACCTATGAGTAAAATATACCGTTAAAGAGAATGCCACCTGCGGGCTGACAAATCTTGTAATTTTATTCCCTCCTTTCCACCAAAAGGAATTTAATGCATTCAAAATTAATGCACTATATTTAGAAGGCAAAAAAGAAAAGTAACGAGTTGTATTAATGACAGACATAAGATTATCTATTGACAGTCCTAGTAGAAATATGAATTGAAGTGCATCTCAAAAGGGGCAATGATACTAGAAAGCTAAACTCACCATCATCAAACTCAAGCACCTCGTTGTAGATGGGTGGTGCCATACCAATGGCCTGACCAGGGAAATAAGGGTTGTAATAAAGGCCCTCTCTCATGGACACACCAGCCGGAGGATCACAGTAACCGGTCAGGAGAGAGAACACGTAATCTTCCCCTCCATGCCTGAGAGAGAGAAATAGAAATCATAAAATGTAAGAGAAAAAAAGTTTGGAAAAGAAAAACAGCAGTATGATAACAAATCTATAGAGTTTAATCTCTCTCAATCATATAAAAGTAAATTTTTTGGTTAAAATTGCTTGTAGTAGAACAATTTTTAATGCCAGAGCAAACAGGACCACAAAAAGGGCTTTTAGTGATGCTTTTATGAGGATTCAGATGCCAGAAATGTCTGACACTTTTAAAGTGTAAAATGGAGACTTTTTTGTACCTGATCAAAGTGATTCGTTACCTGGCACTGACAATATAGCTGAGGTCAGGGGGCAGAGCGCCGTTGTTTGCAGCACGGGCAGCCTCAGGGTTCGAGTAGGGTTTGGGGAAGTAATCTGAGGGTTTTCCAGGTCGGGTGAACATCTCTCCTGTGTCATCAGGACCATCCACAACTTCAATCTACATAACAGAATGTTAACCACATTACAGATGTGCGTCAAAGGTGAGGTGACAAATGCATTAACAAGACACTGACTCCACATTGTTTTATTTTTCCAAAAGAAAATGATAGAGGTGCTTGCTTGTCTGGGGAAATTTTTTTATTGCATTGCTGTGCCTTGAAACACTACAAAATATTCCATTAAACTCAGTGGTGCAATTAGATTGAGTTATATTATATATAATAAAATTAGATTTATGAACAAGAATTGCACCAATTGACCGTTCGCAAAGACCCACCCCCCTTAGTTACTGTCGCTATGTCCGACAAGCTACGCTGCCCTCACACACACACACACCATGTTCTCACACAGTGAAAAATACATCGCGGACTGACAACACGCTGACAGACAGGACAGACCAGGTTACTTTTCGGTTACTTTTGATATTAAACAAAGTGTCACCTTTCAAATTTGGTCATTTTTTAAAAAGAAATTTAAACAATAAATACCGTTTTGTGGCTCTTTTATGTGTCGTGACAGATCGCTGTATAGCATCAGTTAAAGCTGCTCGTGATCGATCATCTCTTCCTTCTAGTTCATTTATAGCATCAAATAAACATGAATGAACATAAGAAGGAATGTTGTTTTAACCGCAGAAAGGCATCAGTACATTCCGTTTTTCAAGTTCAAATCCTCCCATGTTAATCTCCTAACTCTCCTGACTGCTTTGTCGGACAAAATGGCGGATGGCGAAGTATGATTGGTCAGATCACCTGTCAATCAAGCTCCCTGCGAAGGGTCAATTTGATTGCATCTGTTCTTGAGTCAACAACTCACTGATTCAAATGATCCGGTCAGAGCGAGTCTCCAGTTAACAATTCATTGAATTCACAAGCCTGACGAAGTTACTACTGCCAAATCTTAGGATTTATTGTTGCAAATGAAAAACAAGCGTAGCATTAGTTCTGGCAGGTCACGTTAGTCAAGCTTGCATCAGCTGACTCTCTCAGCTGATCCACGTCTACCTATAGGAATATGACACCTATCAGGGCTCCAGACTAGCTTTTCCACTGGTTGCACTGGTGCTACCAACTTTCTCAGTAGGTCGCACCAGCATTTGATTTGGTCGCACCTTTTTTTCTTTTTTTTTTGCTACATGCCATGGGATTAATCAATGCATGCTAATGAATAGTGGTTTTAATGGACCAAGGCTAGCAAAGGCTTTCTGGGTTGCAGCAGAAATACCTGTAATATATTAATTATCACTGCCAAATTTCAGGATTTTCATGGATTTTGGACAGT